GATCCCATACACAAATTGTTTCTTTATTTTAAATTCTTGATTTGGGGAAGACCCTGTGTCCAGAGGAAGTAGGCTGCCTGGACACTGGGCACAGCCTCCAGGGCACAGAGCTTGGTTAAATCCCTGAGTGCCTCCTCTGCTTACCAGTGGGCACTGCAGCTCACCTGTGACTAAACTGCCCCAGTTTCGTTCATGTAAAATCAGGGTAACAATCCTGTCTTCGTAGCATCAGTGAGACAATTACATGATGTTTGTTGGCCTATCAGGCACTGGTGCTACACCTGTATCATTCACTCAGTGCTCACAGTCATCTTACAAAAACTTTATCATCAGTGTGAGTGATAATGAATTGAAATGAGTTCACCACTTTGGCTTATTTGAAAAATGCAAAGATTCATCACACTCCTCTCTGAAGCACCAAAGATATATGCCCCACTCTTCCAGAGTATCGCAGACCAAAGCTCCTTTGATCTTTGCACTTCATTCCAAGTGTTCCTAACATGACCCATTCCTGTGCTATGCTCTCAGCTGATGAGAAACACAGGCCATCTTTTCTTTATAGTCCTGACTCTTTTCAAGGAAGGGAGACATGTATTTCAGGCTGTTTGATGATGGTCATAACAAGCACAGCAGAGCTGCTCAGGGACATTATGAAAATCTTCTAAAAAATAATTTTAGGTGATGTTGAAATCTGTGAAACCTACCTAGAGATGTTCATTGCTCTTATGTTCAATTTTCTATAAAGTAGATTTCAAGCTTTTTTAACTAGCTGCTTTTCTTTTGATGTAGAATATTAATTATTGGGAAAATACCAAATACAACTTACAGAAGTTTCCTAACAAGGTATAAAATAGGAAAAACTAAAACAGTAAAACTTTTATTTTCCTTTATTGAAAGTTTCTCTGAGCAAGGTGGAAACGTAATTTCAACCTTAGAAGTCTTCACATGATCTTCTCCATCCATGGCTACAATAGATAATGTTTTAAAGATAAAATTTAAAAACCAGTGAGTGTGGTGGTACATGTCTGTAACCTCAGGTACTCAGAAGGTTGAGGCAGGAGGATCACAAATTTGAGGGCACTCTGGGCACCTCATTGAGACTGTCTTGAAAGATACTGCAAAAACAAATACACAAACAAAAAACCAGCCCAGAGACCAAAAGTGAGCCAGAAACATAAAACAGAATGGAAGAGCCAGGCATGTGGTGAATTTGTGAGGAGGCACTGAGGCAGGAGGTTCTCCACAAGTTCAAGGCCAGCCTGGGCTAAATAGTGAGTTCAAGGCCAATCTGAACTATATAGAAAGACACTGTCTCAAAAAAACAAAACAAAAAACCAAACTCAGGATGGAAGACCAAGACTTTGGGTCTATAGGACACCATACAGAAATTTGCAAAAGTGGCTAGGAATGCTGTTCCTGAAGAGTGAGGGGATAAAGTGCCCCAAGAGGAGCCAGCAACAAGAGCCGAAACCATTACTTAAAACTGGAGCTGGGAAAAGCCTCCCACCTCTAGGAAAGAAGCTTAGAAAAAAAAAAGTACAACTTCTGCAATAATGTGAGGATCAAGCAGAGGAAGGTCCTTACTCAGCCCCTGGCTGGCACCATGACTGGGAGCAAGAACCTTGAGCATTCACTGTGAACATGCAAGGCACCTGCAGGACCATGGTACAAGACAGGGTGAGCCCAGGAAGAAGACAACACAGTTCAGTCTTCGGGTAAGCCTGGGGGCCTCTATTCCAGAACACCTAATGCTGGGAAAATAAATAACAGTGTTACTGATCAGCAGATGAATCCAGCCCAGATGCTATGAGAATGGAGCAGTCTGGAAATTAAAACAACTAGGTAGTATTTAAAACAATTATGTTTAGGATTCTTGTTGTGAATAAAAAGAAAATATCCATGAAAATTAAAGAGATAATAAAAACTGGGTGAAATAAAATAAGAACAAATAGATATAAAAAATAAAGAACTGCAAAGTGAGGTCATAAAAAAAACAACAGCAGCAGTAGCTCAGTGGTAGAGTACTTGTCTAGATGTTGGAGGCCTATGGTTTAATTGCAAGTGCTGCAAAGCAAGCATACAAACAAACAAAAAACACGAATACATGAAACTCTGATTGGACCAAAGTGAAGACAGATTTAGTGAACTGGAAGATAGTCCATCCAGAACACAGAACACAGACATATAAACCTTAGGAAGAGCTGTTCTGAGACATGGAAAACAGACTGAATGAGCTCTACCAATATGAGAATCAAGGAGAGTGTGCAGGGATGCTACATGATGGAAGAGAGGTTGGGAAGGGCCTAGAATCAAGGACATAGGTCTTAGAAGGCACACATCAAGTGGCAGGTAGCATAACTGTATATCAATCAGCATTCAGAAACACTGTAGTGAAATTTAAGAACAAGGACACAGAAAAGACAGATTTCCTTCACTCAAATGACAGTTAGATTGGCAGCAACCTTCTCAGTAGCAGCCAGTGAGTAATGTCTTACAAACTGTAAAAAAAAAAAAAAAAAAAGTTGTCAACAAGGAACTCTGCACCAGCTAAACAATCATTCAAGAATTTGCTCAAAATAAAGACTAAGTACATTCATACATTTTAGAGAGACATGTCCAAAAACACTTGCCAAAAGAACTACCAAAGGAAACATTTTAGATGGATAAAAAGTGAACACTGGAAGATGGCAAAATATGTTCATACATATAATTAACTATTGACTACAGAAATTAATTTAATGTTTTCAAAAAGTGAAACAAAAACTTGAGGAAATGGGCTCAAATGGTTAGAAAAGGTTGCTTTGTTAGAAATGGGGAGATGGGGCTGGGGATTTAGCTCAGCGGTTTTGCCGCCTGCTGCGCAAGCTCAAGGACATGAGTTCGATCCCTGGTATCAAAAAAAAAAAGAAAAAAGAAAAAAAGAAAAAGAAATGGAGAGTTGTGCTAACATCTTCTACTTTGCACAGAGCTGCTATCTACCCTGTCCCCTTGCTTTGGCCTGGATGCTCACCTCAGCTCTGTCTTCCCTGAGCCTGGTTACAGCACCAGCACTGCTGTTCTCTGGAGTGACTCCATACCATACCTTCTCTATATTGTGTGAATGTGCCCAATTGGACAATGTCCCAGCTACAAACCTACAATGACTTTTAAAATATGGGAATCTTACCGCTTCTTGGCCTTTTGGCTAAGATCAAGTGTAAAGTAAGAGAAAGGAAGGAGCCAGAAGAATTATTCCCAGGCCTTGAGATCTAATCAAGATCTTCCAACATTTATCTGGGTATACTTCAGTGACTCCATTGGGCCTATTGTTGAGGATCAGCCATGATATGCAGATTGGTGGGTGCCAGGCCACAGGTCCTATAGTCTGGAGGCTGGAGCCACAAAGCCTGGTGGTGACTTGCCTCAGGAAGAGAGAAGTATGCAAAAGGTTACAGACTTCCTGGGTGTCTGGCAAAGCCTTAATCACAGGGCTCCTGAGGCGAGATAGTATCTGCTGAGGGCAATACAAAATGTGGGTATCCAAGTATTGGGAAGGGCCTTAACTTGCTCCCTTTGAGATGCTAAACTTGTTCCCTATTTTACTACCCTAATCTTACTGCAGTCACTGTTCCTGGAAAAACACATTATCCCCTACCTTGTGCTTCTTGCTGAATAAGTGGGTCCACCGCACAGCTCTTTGAGCCTGTCCACTAGAGGCAGATTCCTCTCAGTCTCCCCTTGTACCTTGAATACTGTGTCTCTTTTATTCCCTGTCGTCTTCCCTAAAGGTATCTGAGGGGTCTAATCTGCTCCCTGGAAGCCTATTTTCTGCCTTCTGACAAGGGATTTCTATAGCAATCACAATGTTTTTGTTGCAGATCACCCAGAAGCTGCTCTTCTATTTTCATGTGCATTCCAAATATCCTGCAAGTGTCTTTTGGCTGCTTTGTCAACCTATAACCAAACAAAAAAGTATTAGAGGAAATATAGCTGGTAACACCTAGACAGTGCAGACGGGACACAGGAAAGAAGTGTTGTTTAGTTGATCAGAGGCCATCCAGCCACATGTACATTAGACTTGCTCAGTGAGTCTCTATGTGTCTTCTGAGTTTTCTAGACTTCATCTCTTGCTCATTTGGGGGTATTTTCTTCTGACCTACTTTTCATTCCATCAATTCCCCCTTCAATTCTAAGTAATTTGCTAGTAAGCCAATCTGGTTATTTTTTGTTGTTTTTCAGTTCTAGACTTCCACTTTGATCCTTTTTTTTTTAGTTCCAGTATAATTCTTGCTTTATCCACTATTATTATTGTCTGCCTTAAATGTGTTCAATAAAATTATTTTAAGGTGCATGCTTGTTGACTTCCTTATCTGGAGCTCTGATGGGCCAGTGCTTGGTTTCTGTGGTGTCTTTCTTTTTGTTCCCTTAGTACTGGGGATTGAACCCAGGGCTTTCACCCGGGGCTACATCTCCAGCTCTTTTTTGAGACAGGAACTCACTAAGTCACTAAGTTGTCCACACTGGGCTTGAACTTGGGATCATCCTGCCTCAGTCTCCCAGAGTGCTGGTTTTACAGGTATGCACCACCAGGGCCAGCCTGTGGTTGAACCATGTATTCCTTGATGTTGCCCTTTGTATGACAGATCATACATTAGGAAACTGTGAGGCTCATTTAAGATCTCAGGCAATATATCCATCCTCTTCCATAAGCAGTGAGATAACACTGATAGGTCTCCCACTACCTCAGCAGCTGTTACGTATAGTAGCTGCCCTCTTCCTATGGTGCCTTGGCCCCTCCCCTGTGTGACATTATGCCAAGATGATTGCTCCCACCAAAGAATAAACCCTTCTTCCCAGCATGCCCCTGCTCCTTCCTAGAAAGTAACCTAATACTCGCTCACCTCCTACCACCTAGTGACATCACGGGCTCCTCCATTCCCTAGTCACTACCTCACTCAACCCCGCCTCAGCCCCTACAAACCCCACCCCAGTCTCTATAAAAGACTCTCCCTGCCCCGGCCATATTGCTTTTGTCTCTCCTTTGTTCAGGGGCAGCCCAACAGATCTATTCTCCTCATAAAGGCTTGTTGTGGCCTGGTCTGGTCTTGGTTTTCGGCCCTTTTACCTGACACCATCTCAATCCAATCAGGATCGGGTAAGATCTGCAGCTGAGCTTTAGTCTTCACAAGGTCTAGTCTTATTCCAGTTCACCCTTTACCTAGAGTCCAGCATTTTGGGTCTCCACCCCACCCCTGGGGTTTTCCAGTTCCTTCCTAGCCTTGGCAGTCTAGGAATAAAAACTTACCCTGTGGTTATTGGTCTTTTGAGAGCTTTCCTCAGTAGCTTAGCCTTCCAATGCTACTTCTAGATGGGCAGATGCTCATGGGGAAAACAAGACACCATAACCAATTCTGAATTTCTGGAATTCCTTTGCTCTTGACCCCATTATTGACTCTCTTGTTAGCTACAGTATCTTAGGATTCTTTCTTTTCTATTTTTTTGTTTGTTTTGCAGTGATGGAGTTCAAACCCAGGACTTCTCACATGGTGGTTAAGTGCTCTACCATGGAGCTGCTTACCAAGGCCAGTGCTTTTGCTTTTAGTGTATTTAGCCTTTCCAGTTTCAGTGGAAGAGTGGGTTTGAAAGGGCTTGCTTACCTTACAGAGAAAAAACAGGGTGATCTTACCCTTCAGTGGCTGATGTGGCTAATACATTTGGTTGTCTGCTCAGTAACCAGCCACTCCTTTTCCTTGTTTTTAACAGGACTCCTTTTCTTTCAGGTATTGTGTGGCTTCGGGATGTGTTACCTCGTTGCACGATGGTCCCAAGATCCCTTACTTGCTCTCCCAGCTAACTGGAGGTAGAAGCTTCCTACTGAGATATGAAAGCACAAGTGGCAGCCCTGGTCAGTGCCGGTTCTAGGCTGCAGGAGCAGATATCTGCTGATCTCTCCGTGGCCTGCGGGACAAGGGCATCGCGTTCTGCCTGCGCAGGCGCTGTGGGAGTGGCGGGCCTAAGGGAGTCACGACTGGCAGGACTGAGATCAGTGACAGGCACACCGGCCCGAAAGGGCCTGCAGAAAGGACGCTGCCTCATCAAAAGGGCTCAGGGGCATCGCGTTAGCAGGACGGCTGCCCTCTGGCCCCAGGAAGACGAGCCACCTGCGGAGAGCAGCCACACACACCACGGGGAGGATCGGTGGGACGGAATGGGGACAAATTGTCTGACGCCGCGAGCCTCCTGCTGTGGACAATGCTGCCGCGCCCGTCTGCGTCGTCTTCGCGAAAGGCGGCCCAGTCCTTAAGCTCTCACCACTTCCTACCCTTTCCTGTCCTGCCTGCCTAGCCTCCCACCCTTTCCTTGGCGCTCTGTCGCCTCTATCACCTCAGAGCTACAGAACCGGCCGCATGCGCATGTGCACCACAGCACTGCGTCCTCCGCGGCGTGGCCCCAGCGGGCCTCCGTAAGGCGCCATCTCCATGGCTACCGTGGGGGTCGAGAGGCCTCCATGGTTGGGTGGTGTGTATTCTTTGCGGCCAGGCTCCAGGCGTGCCAGCAGGCGGGGGGCCCCAGGTGCGGCAGGCGCGGGCCCAGGCCAGGGGATGCGGCGGGGTCCTTGGGCTGTGGGGTGGGTACAGGACCGGGGTCGCCCGGCTGTAGGATGGGGCAGAGTGCACCGGTTGTATGGGCACGGAGTCTTCCCGGTGGGCGGCAGGGGAATGCGGCGCCTCAGCTCCTGTCTGCCGGCAAAGAACACTTCTCAGGCTGGGAACCTGAGCCTAAGCTTCGGGCTTCATTCAGCTGGGCCAGATGGGAAAATCAAGTCAGGGCGTGCCAGGAGCCTATAGTGATCAGGGTGCATGGGGGCCTCCTGTTTCACTCTTACCTGCGGAGGGATTTGTAGCACACCTCTTCTAGTTCCGAGAAAACCGCCCACCATGCAAAGTCCCAGAGCTCCCGCCGCCTGGGACAGTCGCCTTTTTGTCTGACCTGGGCATCTCCTGCAGACCTGGGCATCTCCTGCAGACCTGGGCATCTCATTACCTGTGCACCTACGGGGAGGCTGCCTGACTAACTGGACCTCCACCTTCCTACCAGGAGAGAAATGTACGCACGTACCAGTCATTGGAGTGTCCAGTGGACGAATCCATGTAAAAGCTGTAGCACTCCATTGCTGCACAAAGTGAAACTGCAATTGGAAATGTGCCTCAGCAGTTGAGGTTTTGATTAAAAGTTAAAATCTTGGAATTTTATGATAGGAGGAAAATTTGTGTTGTGTGCGTTATTTGTGCTTTTTTTTTCCTTTTTCATTATTTGGTTTTTAGACGGGGTCTCACTAAGTTGCCCAGGCTGACCTCAAACTTACTCCTCCTGCCTCACCCCACCCCCACCCCCAGTAACTGAGATTACAGGCATGTCCCACTATTCCTAACTAGGAGCAAAGAATTTTAATCCGAATGTGTATTCTTGTATTTTACAAATTCATGGGTCAAGGGCCAGGGATTTAGCTCAGTGGTTCCAGCGGCTGGCTTGCAAGCTCAAGGTCCTGAGTTCGATCCCCAGTACCAAAAAACCAAAAAAAAAAAAAAAAAACCCAAAACAAATTCATGTGTCAAGTTTATGATACTGTTTATTTTAAACGATAGGGTGTTTTTTTTTGGTACCGGGGATCAAACTTGGGATCTTGTGCTTGCAAGACAGGCGCCGGAACCAGTGAGCTAAATCTGCAGCCCCACGGTAGGTTTTTTTTTTAAAGAGCAAGTTAAATCACTTCCGATCTGCCACAGCTGTTCTGTTTGGTCTGTGTGGTTGTGTGAGTGTGATTTGCCATTGCTCCTACGTGTCCCTTTGCTGTGTTTCCAGATGACTACAGATTAAGGAGGATGAGCTGTAGCCACTGGAGGGCGACAGATGGAGGGAAGCTGGGACTACCGAGCTCCTACAGGGGTTGCTGATAATCCCAAGGAGAATGCTAGTCAAGCCTGGAGCTTGCCAGCCTCCCGCTCCGGAGATGTTCACAAGGATAGTAGAGGGATCATCTTTTCATCTTCGTCAATTTTAGACTTGAGTCAAAGTGGTCTGCGCCTTCTGGAAAAGGTCTTTAGAATCCCCAACCTTCAAGTAAGTGGTCTTTTTCTTGGGGGATGTTAGGACACAGATGCTGCATTGACAGAAGTGGAAAATTCACCACTGAACTTTTATTTGTAGGCTTCTTTCTTTTTAGAAGAGATTCCAGAATGAGACAGAGGAAGTTTAATTTGAGTTTCATATGCTGATCACAACAAAGAGATATTGAGATAAGGACACCAACTGACAGCAATAGTACATCTAAGGAGGGAGCCCGTTCTGCACCTCTCATGTGATCTCTCTTCATGGGAAAGTCTTGGAACCAAAAACAAAAGCAAAAATCCTGCAGTAGAGACAACTGCCCAAACACCCTTAGTCTCTTATTTAAAACATAAAACTCTTTAAAAGCCCAAGCAATATTAAAACAGTTAAAAACTGTTTCTGTCACTGTTCTGTATTTTGTTAATGCTCCACACCCAATTTCCTTTGTGCAAGGCACCTTCTGCAAGGAAAAACCTATCAAATACTGTCTTGTTCTTGTGCTTTTGGAGAAAGGTTCCCTTAGAGTACTGTGTTGATAGTAGACTGAACAGAGTGCTTCCCCACCAATGCCCCTGATTCCTCAGAATCACAGAATTTTCTTAAACCTCATTGGACTTCATCTGGAATCTGGAAATGATAATAGTCTCAGGAGTTACCATAAAATGAAATAACATATGAGGACAGTGTCTGGAACGGTTGTGACACTGATTGACATTTCTCAGTACTTTTACAAAAGCTGCCTTCTTGGATTTTAAGTGGCTGCTTACACTACTAAAGTCTATTATTGCTTGGTTACATTTGCCCTGTTTTTGCTGTCAGAGCCAGCGCTGGTCTTGCTATTTCATTAACACTGACCTCTAAGAGTACATTACTGGACTCATGAGGACTCCTATTATGCACGTATCACTTGTAATGAAATGAATGTTCTCAACTCTGACTGAGGAGCTCAGCCAAGCTGTGATGTTCATGTTGCCTTTATGCCTACAAGCTTAATACAGAACTTCATAACTATTTATATCTTTTGGAAGACACATGTCACTATGAGTTTTGTTACCATGACAACAAATCAGTAAGTGAGGTAACCACCAGAGTTGTAGATTGTCAGGGGTTGTGAATACTGGCATCAATCCCTGAAGTCATTGGTAGCTCTTACAAAAATGCTTATACTCAGGGGAGGCAGAGAGAACCCTCCACCTTCACACTCCCAGGGCCTATGAGGAAGGGCAGAGAACAGAGCACACTGTTCATCCCACCAGTTTCAGATGCAGAGGCTTGCTTCTCCCAGGGTGCTGAGGAAGGAAAGAGATTTTTCTTGTCTCTCTGAGATTCCTTTTACCAGCATTCAGGACCTGTAGTTTCAAGCTGAGCACTAGAATTAGCTGCAGGAGAAGAAAAGAGCAGACCTCAGAGGCTTAACATCTCCACTCCAGCAAAGGCCCAAGAAGGGTCACGTATGTGCATGTATGTGCATGGAAATATGTGTCCTTGTGTACCTGGAGGTATGCACATATATGTGGATGGAGATGTGCATTCTCATGTACCTGGAGGTAAGTACTGGGCACCTATAAGGCCAGCCTGCTTTCCAGAGACTATGCTAGCTTCCAGCAGACAGACTGGCAATTTCTTATTAGATGTATTATTCTCAATGAACATATAAACAGTGTAATTTTTAAAATCACTGTTTCTCAGAAGCCTGTAAATTATTTGGATTTGAAAGATTGGAGGTAGAATTGGGTGTTGTGAAACTTTGATGGGAAAAGAGCTGCCTGGTGGCTCTTTGAGTAAACAATAGCATAATAATAGCATAATGGCTGATAGGTGCTCATTTGCTGCTACCCTGCAAGGTAAATCCCATTACCCCCAGTCTTCAGGTGAGGATGCTGGAGCACAGAGAGGTTCAGAAACTTGCACAACTCACACATCTTGTAGGTTTCAAAACCTAGATTAGAACCCAGGAAGTCTGGCTTCAAGGTCAGTGCTCAAGTATCTCTTTGTGTCTTCTCAGTAAGTATAGGCATAGATTTTAATAAGTAAATATGTATGTATATTAATATGTACAGCATGTAACAACAGTATCAATGAAGGTATGTAGAAAATTACCTATTATCTAGCCCTGCTATGACTATAAAATTATATATACTGTATAACCCTTTTATCCAGAAATATTAAATAGAAAATTCTAGAAATAAATAATTCATGTTTTAATGACTTACAGTGTATTGTTATAATTGTTCTATATTATTATTGATAATTAATCTTTTAGTTCTTAATTTCTTATTGTCCCTCATTTAGAAGTTAAACCTTATCATAGGTATGTACATATAGGAAAAAGAAACATAGTGTATATTCAGTACTATCCATGGCTTTAAGCATCTACTGGGCCCCTTTGAATATATCCTCTGTGGATAAATGGGAACAACTGTATATATATTCTATTTTCAGTGTATATGCAATTTATCTTCTACCTTCTCTTATTTATGATGATGACTTAAAAATTCCACTAAGTTGATGTATCAAACTGTTCCTGAAATGATGGTTCTTGAGATGATTTTGTGTGGCTGTGTGTCATAAATAATGCCACAGCAAATATCTTAGTGCCTCTGTCATTTCGTTTCCTCTTGATTATTTACCTAGGGTGAATCCCTCAAACCAGACAATGGCTCTTGCTGTTAGCTCACTCAGCAGAAAGTTGGAGCTGCTGAGAGGTGTGACACTGAATGTGGGGCCCAGGAAGAAGATAAATTATTTTTAAAATCATTGGGATTAAGAATGGTGTCAAAGGGGCCGAAGATTTAGCTCAGTGGTTTCGCCGCCTGCTGCGCAAGCGCAAGGACTGGAGTTTGATCCCCGGTACTAAAAAACAAAACAAAACAAAACAAACAAAAACAAAAGAATGGTGTCAAAGGAGGGCCGGGGATTTAGCTTAGTCATGTCGTGCCCGTCTTGTAAGCGCAAGGTCCAGAGTTCAATCCCCAGTACCAACAAAAAAAAAAAGAGAGAGAAAGAATGGTGTCGGAGGATATTTGATAGAGGAACTGATATGCTTGGGAGAGCACATGAACCATTTAGGAGGTCACTCTCAGCTCTGAAAATGGCTCTCTTGCTTATTCCAACTGTTTAAATTCTTTAAGAGTAAAGTGTTATTTTTAAATTGAGATGTGTGGTTGCAGTTGTTAGTAGTTCCTTTGGAAGTGCTTTTTTTTTTTTTTTTCTTTCTGGTACTGGGGATCAAACTCAGGACCTTGTGCTTTCAAAGCAGGCACAGTGCCACTGAGCTGAATCTCCAGCCCTGGAAGTGCTTTTTGCATGTATCACATTTTAACATTCAGTTGGTTGACAGAACATTCTCTGATTCTCTCTTCTTTGCTGTGGAAGGAATTACATCTTCAGAGAAATGCCCTCTGCATGATTCCTAAAGATTTCTTTCAGTTACTGCCAAACCTAACTTGGCTCGACCTACGGTATAATAAAATTAAGGCGCTTCCTTCTGGGATTGGATCTCACAAGTAAGTTGTATGTTTATATTCCAGATTTTTTTTAAAAAAATGATCTTTTAAAAATGTATAAGTGCCTGTTCTTTTGCAGCCTTGCTTCTACTCCTTAATGAGTTTTTACTTTAAAATAGAAGCATTGCATAGTTTTTTAGGGCCAGCTCAGAAGTACCAAATACACCTAGCCATGACTATAACTGAAGCTATTTGGTAGCATGCAGAATGCCAGGAGCTGGATGCAGTTCCTTTGGACAGTCTATGCTAGTTTTGTAATAGCTGATTCTACCTCTGACTATCCCTGTGTGAAGCTGCCTGCAAGTAAAAAACACCTCTGATGAATTAAATCAAAGTACTTTGTTCCTGTGGGCACCATGTAATCTGCACTAGTTCCCCCCAAATAATGGGAAATTCTTCTTGTTTTGAAAAACTGGAGACCCCCAAGCAAGCAATGCTTGTTGTCCTGCTATATATATTCCTGCCTCTCTGAATCCAAGGATTTCTTCACACTCCCAGTTACAGGGCACAATCCTGCCCCATCTTTTAAAGTCACAGCTTTACCTAGGTCCGTAGTCAGCAGCTAAGGAATCACGTTCCTTCCCTGAGCCTTTTTTTTGGTTCTAGGTATCAAACTCGGGTCCTTGCGCTTGCAAGGCAGGCAGTGGAACCACTGAGCTAAATCCCCGGGTCTTGTGTCAGTGTTTCTTTACTCTTGGAAACTGTTGTGTCATTGCCTCTTGGCAAATACTTCAGATCCTCCTCCAATGGCAGTACATCTGTACAGAGGGAAGAACACATTCAAAGGCTCTGGGGTAGGCATGTGCTTGACAAGTGCTGGAGAAAACAAGGAGGCCAGTGTAATTCAGCAGACCTGGGGACATGGTAAGAGACAAAGGTAAAAAGAGTCACCAGAGCTTAGAGCCCATGTTCTCAACTTTGATATTTATTTTGAAAGAACTGGGTAGTCATAGGAGGCCTTGAGTGGAGGGGATGGAATTGGACTTGGCCTAAGATCACCCTGTGAGGAAAGGAGCCTGTGGGATGAGAGTGGATACTGAAAGACAGGCTGGGTGGCCACTGTAGCCATCCATGCATGAGGTGATAGCTTGGCCAAGGTAGAGCTTCACGTGGACTAGAGAGCTGGCAGGGTCCAGGCTGGATTTGGGGTGAGAGAGGAACAGAGGTATACAAGGGTGACCCCAGTTCCTCTGTGAGTAATTTGTCCCCAGTGATTGTGTCATGTAGGCCACTGTGTAGCACCAGATTAAGGCTTGTTGAAAGCCCTTAACTAGCCCTGAATTACAGTGAGTTGTCTGCCCCATGAGTCATCTTCCCCATAGTCTCTGGTTCTGCAAGGAAGCAGCTTACTCTGACAATAAGCTAGTGTCGAGGCAGGTGGAGATACAACTAGGAACCTTCCTGGAACTCTGGGCACCTTGGGGTCTAAAGGGTGGTCACAAATAGACCTGGCCCAGAGAACAGTGCTTCAGGTACCCTGTCACCAGTTGTGTGTGGGGCAAGAGCTGAGTGGGATCTCCAGGCTATTCCCCCTGTTCCTCACATGTGCCCAGGAGTCCTCACGAATCTCTGAACTTGCAGTTCCAGGGCTAGGGAAGGCTTTCTGCCTCACAAATTATCATCTTCTGTGTTTGGGATAACTGCATGCTTTGTGTCCACAAATTATTTTAACCTCAGCACTCAGTTCTGGAGAGTAATTGCTTCTCAAGAGTAAAACTAAACTAAAGCCTATTCCCGTAAGTACCACTTCTTTTAAAATAAATGCATAGTTCTCAAATTTTGGAAGTCTTCGATTTTGCCAGTCAAAACCAGCTTCTTTGTGTTGTTTAAGATATAATTTGGCCTATGATTTATAAACCGTTATATTAAAATCGAATCAGCTTGCTGAAGAGCTGAAACATATTAATTAGAAATTTTAAGTAATTATGGGCTTATTAAAAAAGCCTTAAACTTCTCAAAAAACATAATTAAAACAATGATTATTAGTGTTTTCCCCTTCTTGGTGTTTTAGACATGTGAGCTTACTAGCAGAGAGGGAAGACTTAAAAAATTAGATCAGTTGCTTCCTAAGGCAAACAAGTCCAATTCAATCATATAAATGTATATGTTCAATTGAAAATCAGTAAAATGAAATAATCGATGAGTAAGCTTTAAATTACTGATAGACTATAAGGGACTAACAATGAATTCATTAAAGTGTGAACACTAATATTTTAGTATACTATTATATAAGACATCCCTTATATACTTTTAATTTAATATTTTGTAAACATCCTCCTACCCACACCCCAAAAACCACAACCCAAGTGGCCTAGAGTTTTCTTGGCTTTGGCACTGGACAAGCCGAGGGTGTGTTGCTGCCATCTTCTGGCATCCTGTCTGGAGGGCCCCTGTTTGTTGGCCTTATAGAAACTTGCTGGCTGTTCCTCTACGAGCAGAATTAAAAGGGAGCTAAATAAAAACAATGAGCAGAGATAGCAACACTGAGATGATTCATTTTTGTGCACATTAAGAAAAGGTTTCTTCATAAAATTTGTTCCTTAAAAACATTAGTAAGGAAAACTCAAGAAAGTATGTCATACTCTGGTTTTGCTTCAGATCATATGTCTTTTGCCTTTTACCAAGTATGTAAAAAAAAAATTGTCTAATCCTTATCTGATTTTCCTGTAGTATTGCAATAAAAAAACCACTAGACTTAATTTAAGTAAAATGCTAGTCTCAGTTTTGTATGTGTGAAATTGTGTATTTCAAACCTTTGAGACCCTGGTTAGCTATGATGTGGTTTGAAGTTTCACTCTCCAAGGCAGAATGAGACGTCAGACAACACCGTCCTCTAACGTGCTCATTTATTTCTGAAACGTGAATGTGCCCAGCTGTGTCTGTCAAATGTGACTGTCCTCCTGTGAGAGGTTTTTTGAGGAGGAAAAATTGCAGATGTAGGGCCTGGGTTGACTTACTTCCAGCCACATTACAGCTCCCCCATGGTACCTGGGCCTGCTGGTGCCATCCAGCCTTCCACAAATCAGGACCACATGTGGTTCCTATGACGCCATGACAAAAATGCCAGTGGGGGCTTTTCTCTAAGGGTGGCGTGCTGTTGTAGCAGTGGGGGCTTCTCTTCTGTGCCGGGCGCTTGTACCCAGACTGCCTGCATGTTCCTGTTCTCCGCTGCAGTGGCAGTGGCACAAGCAGCAAGTCAGCCCTGGTGGCTAAAAGGTGTAGTGGTTTCCAGCAGCTATTCTTCACAGTCTCTCAGCGAAGCCTTGCTGTAGCAGAAGAGACTGGCCAGGTGTCAGGGGTCTTGCCCTCTGCCAGGGATGCCCAAGAAAAGGGACCCTCAGAGGTCCCACTGTGCAAATAATTCATCTCTGAGCTTGTGCGATATCCTTTGCAGCAAAATCTCCCAAACATCTCTGGAAATACTGGTATGCATTGAGGTGGCAGTCTTAACCTAAAGATATAAAAGCCCAGAGCAGGAGTTCTCAATGGTGGTTCAGCAGGAGTTGCTTTTGTCCCCAGGAAACCATTGGCATTGTCTGGAGACATTAGTGCTTGTCACAGCTGGGGTGTGGGTGGGTAGCACCACTGGTATCTGGTGAGGAAAGGCCAAAGATACTGCTGAATACCCAAGGTGCATGGGACAAACCCCAACAGCTAAGAATTACCTGGTTTCAAATGTCAGTAGTGCCAAGGCTGAGAGAGCTTCACCTGGCTCTGTATGTTAGCTAATGGGATATACGTATTGTGAACTTATGTGGTACACCCCTATTGCACTTGTCCCCTGAGAGAGAAAAAAAATGAAGAGATTTGATGATATATTTTATGGATGGTTATTTTACTGCTCTTTAAGTTATTTTTTTGTTTTGTTTTAAAGGCATTTGAAAACTTTGCTTTTAGAAAGAAATCCTATCAAAATGTTACCTATGGAGCTGGGTAAGTGTTAAAACAATAAAATAAAAGGTGATTTTAAAATGCTGTCTTTGGAGTCACTGGACCTTGTAATGGAAATAACAGATGTGACATGGGAGAGTAGGCTAAATGATAATTAAAATGCTTTCTATCTCCATTCTAGGATTCTCTTAGGAACTTTTAACACTGTATGATGTGCATATCTGCAGGTAAGATATATAAGCATTGAGGAGCCATGAGAACAAAGTGCCGTGTACACAGAGCACAGCCTAAAGAGTCTTGATGTCACTGTGTCTTTGGGCTATGTACGTGCCCATGATGTCACTTTGCTTTCCTAAATGGGACTTGCACCACTTCTGTGTCCCTAAACATTGCTTTCATTTCAACTTTGTGTCATACCATCTATATTCTTAGTGCTTTGCTTTCTTGGCTCACCACTATGCTTTTGAGGTTTTCCTACATGGACATATAACTATAGTTCATTTGTTTCTGTGCATTATCCCTACTATAAATAAAAAGGAAGATAATTTTCTACATTATGCATCTGTTTTATCTCAGATTTCTGCTATCATTTTTGTGTTTTAAGTTTGATTTATTATTTTTTCTAGTTTGTTGAGTTGGAAACTTGGGTTTTGATTTTAAATCTTTCTTTTCTACTATATGTATTTGCAACTATAATTTTGCTCTAAACACTGCCTTACATGTTTTGACTTACAATGTTTTCTTCATTCAGCTCAAAATCTTTTTCTGGTACACATTGACACGTGGGCTGCTTAGCAGTGTGCTGCTTAATTTACAATTAGAGATTTTCCAGTTATCGTTATTTTACTGACATCTAATTTAAGATTTTGTTTAAAATTCAGAGATTGTCAGACTGGATGAAAACCAACTATATACTTCCTACTCACAATGTATTAAAAATCCAGATAGCTTGAATCCTGATAGGTTGAAAGTAAAAGAATGGAAATACATACCATGCAGGCAATAAACATAAGAGGGTTTGAGTGCTACTGTAATACATATCAGATGCTCAATAAGTAGATGCCAAATTCCTCAGTGTCATTAGCCTTTGGAGAAATACATATTAAAACCACAATGTGGTTTTTACCAGAATACCACAAATGAAAAGATGACTTTGTATTGATTGGATATTTGTTTAGATTGCATTTTATTTTTTAGTTATAACTTTCAACACTCTTTTAATTGTTTAATAGTTGTAATAGGAATTACAAAATGCACTCTTAGCATAAGCATTGTACCATAACATATAAAATGTAACTGTATAAAAACACTTACTTCAGGGCCGGGGATTTAGCTCAGTGATTTGGCCGCCTGCCTCGCAAGTGCAAGGACCCAAGTTCGATCCTCGGTACCAAAAAAAACCAAAACAAAACACTTACTTCACTCCTTCTTTATGCAGTAGTTTTCCTATGCATTATGTCTGTATGTTTTAGACCCACAGTACAATGTTATTTTTTTAACTTAAGCAGTCATGTATATTTTAAAGAAATTAAGAGAAAAAACAATTTTTAAGATTTATAGTTTTTGTTTGTTTTGAGACGGAGTTTTGCTATTCATTCCAGGTTTGCCTTAAACTCACTATATATAGCCCAGGCTGGCCTGGAACTTGTGACAGTTCTCCTGCCTCAGCCTCCCAAGTGCTGGAATTACAGGTGTGCACCATCATGCCTGGCTAATATTTATAGTATTTTAAAATTAGCTGCTTTAAAATTCTTATCTGCTAACCTGCATTATCTCATGGTTGGTCTTCATAGTGAACCCTTTGTCTCAAATTTCTCTCAGAAAGGAGTCACAATTTCCTGTTTGTTCATATGTCTAGTCATTTTAGACCATATACTGCACATTGTAATAGACACTTTGTAGAGATTCTGGGGTGTGCTTGCACATGTGCACACGCGTGTGTGTATGTGTGTGTGTGTGTTTATGAGACAGGGTCTCACTGTGTAGCCCAGGCAGGCTTACCTTAAACTGGTCTCTAACTCATGATCCTTCTGTATCAGCATCTCAAGGGCTGAGATCACTAGTATGTATCATTATGCCCAGCAGGGTTTATTTTCACATTTTCTTTTGTTTTATTAAAAAATAAAACAAAATTTTACAACAAAATAATGAGAATAAAAATAGTTACTCGGAGTACAAAACATAGCCAAAAAGGATTCCCTCTTACAAAGAAGAAACAGATAATAGCACAAAACTTTCTTTTCAATGAACTAAGAAACTTGTAGTATAAATGGAACAATTAGCTTATATATTAAAATATTTTTGAAACAATGGATAGGTAATTTGGGGAATGATTTGAACTTCTCCGTACTTCCTATTTATCTGTCTTCTATTTTGCCCTTTATTTGTGTATGTGTGTATATGTGTGTGTGTGGGGGGTATGTTTTGTTACATTCTTTTTTAAAAGTTACTTAAATTCACAGGATTGAGACTCAAAACTATCTCTTTTGCAGTGGGCAGTAAGTAAATCTCTCTTCAGTCCTTTTAGTCTTGGCTGGATGCTTGGAGTCTGCCCATGCTAGTGAAGTTCAAAACTCAATGGAGAATTTTGTGTAGACTTTATATGTATAGCATTAGAGTTCTTCCACATCTGTTTTCTTTCTGGAATTTATGCCTTCACTTAGCTCTGAGCTCTCTCTAGCCCTTCAAGTCGTTAAGACTGTACAAATTTCTGTCCACATCATAGGTGCCAGTAATGGCTCTCTCTGAGCCTTCCCACAGGCAGAAATCCCTCCTGTATTAAACTCATCCACTATCATTCTGGTCTTGAATCATCCCTCCACTAGGTTCAGTATGGTTTTTGTTGCCCTGCTACCTATATGTAGTTAGTTTTTACTTTTTGCCCAGTGTCTAGTTATCTCTAGAAGATTCAATCTGATTAGATTGATTTGCCTTTTCTGGAGGAAGAACTCCTCATTGCACTGTTTTATATTTTTATTTCAGTGATTAGCCTAAAGATTTTATTGCACATCCTTAACTTACTACAGTCTAGCTGAAATGTACTTCCCAAACAGGAAGCCTTACAAAGGTTTAACTGTATTACTTCTTTACTGCATTCTTGGCATTGTTTTCATGTATTTTACTTTTATATGTAATATAGATCCAAGGAGCACTTTAAAACCATCAGTACTTGTTCTTATTTCCTTCCTTGTTCATGCTTTTTGCTGTTTGCACTTCTCCCAAAGTTTCTGCTTCTGTCTGGGCTACACTCTGGTCTCAAGCTTCTCTCCAGAAGTATTGCTGTTGAGTCTGCTGGTGACTAATTATTCTAGTTAGTTTTTTTCTAAAGTCATCTTTATTATTTCTTTAATTTTGAAAGATATTTTGGCTGAGTATAGAATTTCTAGATTTTAGGGGTTTTCCACTACTTTAAAACAATGTATTTATTTTATCTTCTTGCTTTTATTTTCACTGAAAACTCAGTCTTTCTATTTTTCTTTTGAAAGTTTAACATGTCTTCTCTCTGGCTGCGGTCAAAGTTTCTCTTCATGTTTTACTTTTAATACATTGACTCTGATGTTCCTTCATCTGGTTTTCTTTGTGTTGACCTTGTTTGGAATTCACTGAGCATTTTGAATCTATTTACTAATGTCTTTAATCAGATTTATAAATTTCCAGGTCATTATTTATTTCTTTCTCTTTTCTCTTTCCTCCCAGGGCTCCAGTTAGATGCATGTAAGTTGTGATACTGCCCATGTCTTGTATACTCTTTTTTTTCTTTCTTTTTTCTCTCTGTATTCCAGTTCATATTATTTTCTGTTGGATTCCTTTGAGTCCACTAACTCTGTCTTCTGCTGGTTCAACTGGCCTTTCAATTCATCCTTTTGGGCCTGGGGATGTAGCTCAGTGGTGCCACACCTGCCCAGCAAGCACAAAGTCCTGAGTTCGATCCTCGGTACCAAAACAAAAAAAGTCAGGTAAACCCATCCTTTCAACTCTGTGGTTTTCAACTGGCCTTGAGATTGGGGATGAGGGGTGGGATGGAGTTATTTACTATCATTTTAAGAAGTTGCTGTAGGTCCATTCAGAATTCCTGTTTGTACCTGTGTCAATACTGGACTGCCTCCATTCCCACCTGTACTGTTGAATGATCATTGTGCTGGGTATGGAGAGATTGATCAGTGGGAATTTCTTTCTCTCAGCACTTTGAATGGCCTACTTCACCTTCTTTTGGCCAAGTTGTTCCTGATTGGAAGGCAGGTGTTAATCTTACTGTTGTAGCTTCCTTGAGTGGCATGAGTTGCTTTCCCTCACTGTTTATGCAGTTATGCATTTTTCTCTTTCAGCATTTTGCCAGTGTGAATCTTTTTGGCTTATTATCCATGGAATCATTAAGCTTCATAGATATGTAAATTAATGTTTATCATCTGATTTGGTACATTTTGACCCTGATTTGCTCATATTTTCCTGCTCCTTCCTCTTTTGTTTCTCATTATATAGTATATCCTGGGTAACTTGATGTCTCTGAGGTTCTGTTTAATATTTTTTCTCTCTAATTTTTGGATTGAATGATTTTTTTTTTTTTTTTTGGTACTGGGGATAGAACTCGGGTCCTTGTGCCTGCACAGCAGGCGGTGAAACAACTGAGGTAAATCCCCGGGCCCCCACTGCAGAGTTTTTAAAAAGAAAACCTCAAATGTCCAACTTTATCCCAAATACTGACTAGAATGGTTTTTAAATGTGAGAACAGTTGCCCACTTCCTCCTGGTATCTTTTCCATAGAATAGAATGCAGGCACTGAGGCTTCTCTCCTCTGTTGCAGGGAATGTGGCCACACTAAGGGCACTGGACTTAAGACATTGCCCCCTGGAATTCCCTCCTCAGCTTATTGTGCAGAAAGGAGTCCTAGCCATCCTGACCTTCCTGTGGATCTGTGCAGCAGAGCATGGCTTCTCTAAGGATGCAGCTTCTCAAGGTTTGTAGGGTTGTAGGGTGATGTATATGACAAGCAACATGAAAACTGAAGTTAGAGCTTTTAAAATCAGGGCAGGACCGGGCTGGGGATGTAGCTCAGTGTTTCCACTGCCTGTCTCGCAAGCGCAAGGAACTGAGTTCGATCCCTGGTAACTCCCCACCCCCCAAAAAAAATCAGAGCAGGACCTTCTTTTGCTGATATCCTAAAGATCTGGATCTCTTACTTGTCTTCTGCTGAGCTCATATAGCAAATGCAAATCTCCACACACATCCAGTCACATCCAGCCCTGTCTTGGTTCAGTGTTTACGGATTTATACCCTCAGTGTCCATTACAGAGCTTGTCTAGAGTGGGGCTGGTAAAAGTTCATTGGGAGAAATCAAATGAACCAGTCATTGCCTCTAAACCACCAGCAAGCAGCTACTTCAAGAGGTCTTGTGCTCTGTTAGACAACTTAAAAAATAAGCACAATGAAATGTCTCCTATTCCTTTCTAGGTGCAAGAAATTAGCATTAATGGGTTTATAAGCATGTTTGTCTAGTTACACTTCTTGGTGGGTACTCACTAAACTATTCCATTTTGTCTGCTCATTGACCAGCTACATATTTTCCAGTGTTGAATGGGCCATATAGTTACACTCAGAAAAAGTAAAGTAAAATAAAAGTAAAGAATCATAATGAATATTCACCAAAAAAGTAAATGTTCTGAAGTATTAACTTGACAATACCTAAAATTTTACTATTTTAAGTCATAGGTTTTATACTTAAGAACATACCTACATTTGAATGTACATTTGCCTGCATCCCTAATTAGCCAAGAGAGTTACATATATAACATAAATAAAATGTGTAAATAATTAGATCTGTGTCAGCATGTGACCTTACACTGTGACCCAGATGGCTATACTTGGAGATAGTCTTAAGTGATCAAGAAACAATAGCTGACCCTGTACTTTATTCAGTTTTTTTGCTTTGTTTTATTTTTGATATCATTGTTTTACAGTACTGGGGATTAAACCTACAGCCTTCACATTGAGCTACAAATAAGCCTTTTTTTTTTTTTTTTTTTGGTACCAGAGATCGAACTTGGGACCTTGTGCTTGTGAGGCAGGTGCCCGAACCACTGAGCTAAATCCTCAGTGCCCCCTCCTTTTTTTTTGAGACAAGGTCTTACTATGTACTTCAGGCTGGCCTTGAACTCACTGTGTAGCCCAGGCTTCCCTTGAACTCAGTGATCCTCTTGCCTCAGTGTCCCAAGTGCTAGGATTACAGGTATGCACCACCATGCCCGCCTGACCTTTATTTTTATCTTGAGACAGGGTGTCACTGAGTTACTAAATTTCCCAGGCTAAACTTGTGATGCTCCTGTCTCAGCCTCCCAGAGTCTAGTATTCATTTTTTATAGATGTACTTTTTTTTGGTACCAGGAATCGAACTTGGGACCTTGCACTTGTGAGGCAGGTGGCCACTGAGCTAAATCCCCAGCCCCATAGGTGTACTTTTAAGTGCTCCCAAGAGGTTTCCATTATATACTGTTCTAAAACTGCCCAGGGTTGTACACCGTGGATTTGTTGATGGAAAGATATCCACAGACATCTAGATCTCAGGTTAGAAGGCTCCAACCGCGGCTGCAATAACTCCCCTCAAGGTTTTGAGTCAAGTGGAACATTCCAGAGAACAGAATGTATAACTTTAAATAAAAGAGGATACTTTCTTAGTATGCCTCTCATACTTTGTAAATTGAAGCTGTTGACTTTAGTTTTTTTGTTTGTATTTGTTTGTTTTTCAGTCCTTAAGATTAGCTTTCTAGGAATGCCTCAAGAACCTTCTCCTGTCAGGTTTGGGGTACATGCCTATAATCCTAGCACTGAGGCAGGAAGATCATGAGTTCAAGGCCAGCTGGGGCTACACAGCAAGACTGCCTTAAACATCCCCTCTCTAAATAAAAGAAGACACTTGTCCAGTGACTTCCTCTAGCTTGGGGCATGTGAAAGAGGTAGTCTAGTGACACTATGGTCTGTGGGCCCTGTGGGGAAGTAGTCCAGGTTGATGGGCTCTGAGGAGATCAGAGCCATGGAATGGCACAGCCTGGTGGGAGGAAGGAAAAAGGAGCATTGTGTGTTCCTGATCATAGAAGCTGAATGGAAAATGCTCTGTCCCCAGGTGATCAGGTATGTTCTTATCAGTCTTTGTTCTTGATCCATTACAGAAGGCCCTGGGATGCATCGTTTAAAAATGTTGTTCATATTCCTAAAGTGTCCTCACACAGTCCAGCTTCCTGTACACAGCAATCAGTAGGCTGTGCAAAGACAGGGGCAGGGCGACCAGGCAACAGCTGGGGGCCTTGAGGCAGTGTGCAGGAGGACGTTCCCAACAGCTCTCAGTGGAGAGTTAACAGTGGTCTCTGGTTCCCCACAGCTAGCCCCAGGGCAGCGGGAACAAATGCATTGTCTACCTGTGGTTTAAAACCTTATGGGGGGGGGGCTGTTGGGAACCCGTTCACAGGTGCTACAGGCAGTATGAAGGGGAAGGTGTGGATCTGCACAGAAGGTGGCTGGTGATTATGGCACTGATCTTTCAGCTGCCTTGTAGGTTTAATCATTTCAAAAATAAAAAAACCTTGAAGCATTACTGACAGATTACAACCTTGGAAGTCCTGGCAGCATACACTGCAGGTTTCTAACTGCAGTGTGGCCTCAGAGGCTTTGGAGCTGTTGGAATATTCTTAGTGAGCGTAGGCACACACTGAGTGAACAGGAATATTCTAACCTGCTATTTAGAAACCTCTTTCCTTCCTTCCTTCACTTACTGTTATGAATAATAATAATGATTTATCCAAGTAAATCATGGTAAGCTTATTAATAGTACTTTACAATTTTATCAGTACATCAGATTTAAATACCAGATCCCAGCCTTTGGAGATTTATTTGGGTGGCTCAGGAGGTTGAGGCAGCTAGGCTGAGCCTGCCCATTCATTCAGGCCCACTTGCTAATTCTGTAAGCTGCTTCCTAGGAATGATTTAAGAACATCTTTTCCTAAGAAGTAGCTGGCGTTCAGTGGTGGTCATTTATTGTAATCTGTCTTCATAGTATTTCCTAGAATCAACACAGATTGATAGTATGGCTTTCTGTGGAGTGACCATACTCTGTAATCTTTACCATCTTTCTGAAGTGCAGTTGATCTATAGCCATGCCTTTTAAGTTTTTAGGTGTTTATTTTTTTTTAATTTTTTTTTTTTTGGTACCGGGATCGAACTCGGGTCCTTTGCTTGCACAGCTGGCAGCGAGACCACTGAGCTAAATCCCCGGCCCTTAGGTGTTTATTTTGTAACAGAGCAGCTCATGTGGATGTGAATAGCTACAGTTTTGTTTCATAGTTAAATAAATGCATTGTAATTTTAGAAGGAAGAGGCCCTCCTTCACGAACATCTTACCTGATCTCTCATCGCCTTACCAAACAATGATTCCAACAAAAAGACTTGAAGAACGTCGAGTGGCAGCCCTCAAAGAGCTCCGCGAGAAACAGGCTCTGATGGAGCAGCGGAGGAGGCATGTCCGTAGAGTAGGGTGAGGTCTCTCCACAGCCAGCTCTCCACTGGTGATGGTGTGGGACTGAGGGCTGGAGCCACATTTGGATCACCAGGCCTCAGGCGAGGTCTTTGGTTCACTTCTCCCTGGTCCTGGGTCAGGATCTGTTTCCCTCACCTGGAAACTGGCTACGCTGTACTCCCCTATGTGACTAAAGCACGTGAGCTCTTGCTCCGCACCCTCCAAGGCTGCCTCCTGGCTAGGCTGGCGTGGGTCATCATAGTCATCCTTTGTGCAGTTCTCTGCCCTGCCTTCTCGCCATACTTGCCTGCCTTCTTGTGTTTTCCCTAGTTTCTTGGTCTTCCTCAGTCATTCCTCTTCATTGGACACTGCTTGACCTCCTGTCCTTTTCTGAGGAGTGCTATTTAGAAATGACATAGTCATCAGTGAGTTCACTCTTGTGTTGCTGACCACACTAATACACCCACTGCCCTTGGCTTCGTGTAGGGCAACTTGCTGTCAGGAGGCTCCCTAGGCCCAAGCTCAGCATCTGCTCTGCTCTACCCTCCCACTCTTCTCATCACCCAGTTGCACTCTGCTCCAGGCCCTAGGAGGTCACTGACATGGACCACATCCATGGTGCCTCTGTGCCCCTCACCTCACGGTGGGGTTCAGCCAGTGAGAGGCTCCTCAGGCAGTGGGGGCAATGGGGAGAATGAGGGTAGATTCTTATTTCCCCAGCTCCTTTGTGAGCTTCCTGGAACTGGCTACAGCCCACACGCTGCCAACTCCAGCTTCTCTCCTGGCTTCCAGCAGTCATTCCTTCCATGGTGTGCTAGAGGGCCTGGGGGTTCCTGGCTGTGTACCACCCTATGGTTCTTTTTCTCTGCCTTTTAGAGCCCAGCTGTGAATAAGCACTCCTGACACTGTCCATGGGAAGGTGCGTCTGTTTATTTGGGACCCAGTGGGTATAGACTGCTCACAAGGCAGCATTTGTGGTAGTGTATCAGCCAGCACTGGCACCCACACACACACTTGTAGTTGGTTGTCTTCCTTCAGTAATAGGTCACATAGTTTTGTTGAGAAAAATAGTTTGAATACAAAGAGCACATAAAACCTCTTCACCCTGCCTCGAGCTCTGAGAGACCTTGCTTTGTGCTCCTTGCTGAATAGCCATAGGAACTCTGCAGTGTGGTTCAAGACTCCAGGCATAACCCTCCCCCTTCATGTCACCTAATTAAGGATGTTATCCCCTTTCCTTCTGAGGGGCAAGCATACCCTTCCTGTCCTGTGTAACCGAGAGGTGACAGACACTACGTGGAGTCCCTTGTCCAGGAGCTGCATAGAGGATAGAGGGAGTTTCAACATGCTGGAGCTGGGGTCTGGGACCCATCCAGACATGTGGAAAACATGGCCTCACCTGAGAGGAACTGCCAAGAAACACTCAGACCTGTGCCTTGAGGTTGGAGCCCTGGAAGGTTGGGGACAGTTCTGATGGCACAGGAGGTGAGGCATGGGAGGCAGAGCCCAGAAGGGCTGAGCTACTGTGCCCACAAGGAGAGAGCTTGGGAGGTGATGGGTGGGCAGAAGGCCAGGATGCACATGGGAGAATGTCCAGATGTCTGCTGAGGAGGAGTGATGAGAAGAGGCTGGATCTCAGGGCAGGAGGGAAGGAAGCCAAGCACATGAACTGAGAGCAGGAGTTAGTTTAGACAGGCAGGTGGGCCCTGGGGCTGCAGCGGTGGCTTTAGGGTGTACTAGGCCGGGCCCCATTCCCAAACTTATGGACAGCTTAGAAATTCTTCCCTCCTGTGTAGCCACAGCCTTCCTGTGGGCCTTGTAAGGAGCTCTCTGCCACAGGTCAAGACCACGTAAAGGAGCCTGGCACTACCTGAGGTATCAGGAATTCTGCCTGGGGAGTTGGGAAGGACTGGAGATGCTCAGTTTTTAAAGCAGAAGGCAAATATCTAGCAAGAAGTCAACTTGTGAGTTTCAAACCTTCCTTAGTCAAGCACCTGAAGGCTTTTGATGTGGGTGCTTACAGTGCCCAGCTGATTCCCTTCCCAGAGAGGGTCCAGCACCTTTACCCTGGGCTTCAGGCACTAGGGCCTGGGGATGCTTGGCTGCTTGGCACACACAGACACACAGTGGGCCTTGGGTCGGAATCTGCTGTTCCTAACTCTGCCAAAAATGTGTGGGAAAATTCATGCATGCCCTCTGGGGATGAGCAGGCAGGAGGAAAAATGCTGTTTGCACGAAGCTGAAAATGACAGGTATAAATCCTTGTAACTTTGCTTGAAGGTGCTCGAAGCTTATGACATTAATTTAAAAATGTATTTTCTACAGAGACAAACGAGCCCTGCAGGAATGCAGAGAGCAGGCCCAGATGCTGAAGAAGAAAAAGGAGGAACTCTGTAAACTCCTGCCTTCACCTAGAGGCATGGTATGTGTGGCCTGCAGACAGGGCAGAGCTGGTCCTGCTGGCCACAGGGCTTGCACACACAATCTGGAGGAGCCCTGTAGGAAACATGGATGCTGCACATGGCCCTTGCACAGGTTGGGACTGAGACTGAGTCTTAAGTCATATGCTCACAGCCCCAGCTGATGAGGCTGGGTGGGGTTGAAGCTGGGCCTGGCCTTGGAGGTTGCCCTCTTTGCTCACTGACTTGTAGGCTTATTCTGACAAAGTAGGTACTCGAAGAGAAATGAGGGCAGATGAATTGAGGGGAAAACATTTAAAAAATAAAAATACCACTAGGTTTTGGGGTGCCTGCAGGCATTATCCTGAGCCCCTCACTCTTTTCAGCCTTGGGAGGCCAGTCACCTCAGAAGCCAAGACTGGTGGCTTTGGAGACCTTGTCCCTGACTCTGGGATTGTTAGCTCTCAGGTTACCCTGGGTATAGCAGAGGTCTTGTTCAAATGGGGTGCAGGTATTGGGCAGGCACTTGGAAGCTGGGCACTCCTCCAGGACATGCCTGGCATTCTCTGTACCATGAGCACAGTCAGGCAGGTATGTTTAACATGGTCGCAGATGTTTCTTCAGTCCTTTCTTTTAAGAATGTTCCCTGTGTGTGCCTGAGAAGACCAGGGGTTGCCTCTCTGGCTCCTTAGCTGGGAGTTGGTCCCCAAGGCTTTCCCCAGGTTGCCCTGAGCCCTAGCCTTCACTCCTCCCTGGAGCTGGTAGTGACTGTGCTCCTGTGGGGAGGTCAGCTTGCACAGTTTGAGAGTCAATTTTTAAAATCATATCAAACTAATTTTAAGACTTACAAAATAGTTGCAAAATTAGTGCAGAAAGTTTCATATACCCTTCATTCAGCTTCCCCTGATGCTAACATCTTCATGACCACAGAGTGCCTAGCACAGACATTCACACTAGTGCAGTATGAAGGCCCAAACAAAGACTGTATCTCGCCAGCTCTCCACCAATGCCCTTTTGTGACTGGGTCCCCCATGGCATATAGTTCTCATATCAGCTCAGTGTCCTCCAGGCAAGAGTGGTTTTTCTGTCTTCCCATATCTTTCATGACTTTAACACCTTTGAGTAGCACTGATCCATTATTTTGTGGAATGTATCTTAATTTGGATTTGTCTGACATTTGGATTCGGGGCAAGAATACCTCGGCAGTGACATCACATCTTTCTCTGTGCAGCATAACACAGCTTCACGTGTGCTTGACCTTGATGCCTGCTCAAGGTGGCATCAGTGTTTCTCCCCTACAGTCTCACTGACCCCCAAACCCCATTAGTAACTGATCAGGCCTCAGGGAGAGACCTGGAGGCTTACACATACTGATCTCTGCATCTAGCAGATCATGTCTGCGTCAAGTGGGTCTCCTGGTGATATCCCATCAGGGGTCTTTGTCACTGAGTTCTTTTATCTAATATTCCTCAAATTGCTTTTGCCCATCCAACCAAAACAATGGTTTATTAATTTAGGTGGAAAAAAAGCAGTGGAATCATTTACCTTAATAGAATGACCCAGTAGAATGACAAAATATATAAATGGGTTTTTCAGGTTTTGGAACAGTTAGGGTCTCTGGGCTTGGCCTGGTAGTATGGGTCACTTGCCTGTGGCCAGCAGATATTATAGTGGCTCTGTCACCCCTGAGGCTCAGGCTGTCAACACTCAGTGGTGGTGAACTTACGGCTCACAGGCTCACATGCCACAGCGGGCTGTTTGTATTCTTGAAAGCTCTGAAAGGTTTGCTGTCGCCGCTGTAGGTGAAGGAATGGCTGTATCCTGCAGCCCAAAATGACTTGGGTTCCTCCCTTCTAAACAGAGCTGTTAATTCATGACACAGGTGCTTCTTGCTAAAGAGACCATTCTTAGAAGTAAAATTAGAATGACTTGTTCCACATCCTTGACCCTGAAACATGTCTTCTTGTAAGCTTTTGCTCCTTTATTTGTTGGAACAATGTCAAGACTATAGCAGCTCTCAAAAAACACCTGGTGAAACCCATCCCCCTCACTCAGTTCATTTATAGGCTTCCTCTATCCTTGACCAGTGTGCATGTTGTTCTCTACATTTTGCATAATATTACAGACATAATTTCATGTTCTTCATTTATTTAATACTGTATATTATATCATGCCAAATTTTCACTTTTGCTATCATCTTTTTTTATAATTTCTCCAGTGTTCCCTATATGTGTAAAAGTTTAAAGTATGTATTATATCACTTTAGGAATAAAAATACCTGCACAGAATAAAAATGCATTAGATATCCTTAAGAATAGTTTCAGAGCTTGATTATAACAAAACAAAGGCAATAATTTAAATGTTCATAGATGGAAATGGCTTATTGTTTAAGCTAAACAATTGGTTATCTAAGTGGCTGTCCAAAAGTTTAAGATAGGTCTAACATCTACCTAATTGAAGAAGTTAAAACAACACAAATTTCAGAACATGCACAGAAACTCATATTTGTCTGGAAGAATATACTGCAGATTGCTGACCTTGGGAGGGTAGTGTAGGGGGAGGAGTGAAGGTGTAATTAACAGTTTTAGGGTGTACTTCTAAATCCACGAGTCTATATGTATTAATCTTGCAGCTTCTTTAAAATGAAGAAAAATGAGTTGTCTAGAAACTCATCTACCTTTAGATGGACCAACTTGAATAGCAGAGGACTGGGCTCATGCCCTGCCTGTGGGACCTGCTGCAGCAGTAGGGGTAACTGGTGAAACAGCGGTGCCAATCAGAGGCCAGTGGTGCAGTGTGCTGGAAGGTGGCAGAGAAAATGGGTGTTAGTTCCTAATATTCCTGTGGTTCCTGAATGGAGACCACAGAGTGGGAACCACCCCCCTCCCAGGTCTGTTCCCACCCAGACACTGACAAAATATTTTTTATGACCCTAAATACTATAATCAAAGCCCAGAGATAGGTACAATATTTGTGACAAGATGTGGATATTTATCTAATATATAAAGAATGGCTACCAATTGATATTAAAAATCCAAAGGGTCCAGTAGAAAAATTAGTAAAGGGTAGCACAGTTCACAAGAGAAAATCCAAAGGGCTACAAGCAATTATACATAAATAAGACCCAGGATTTGCGGATTGGTGAAGGGAACCAGTTAGCTGCCGAGGATGTATCCATGCTGCAGGATAAGGGGACGTTCCCAGCCTGTGCCAGCCCCTGTAGTTTGGTAGGAGGACATGAGAGGGCGCCAGGACCCTGTGCATGGCCCAGTGGTTGTTTGGTGGAGCTCTGTATACTGGTGGCAGGGCACTGTGGGCTGGCCCTATGCAGTAGCGAGGGATGCTGGCTTTGCAACCTGGTCCTGGGGTGTGCCCAGGTGCCCCGCATATCCCGCAGCTGATCCGTAATGTACAGGTCACTGCTGAAATAGCTGCAGAGAAAAGACCTCTACTGCTAGGCATCAGTATCTGATCCATTGCCCTCTTCTAAAAAAAAGCATACATTTCCATGTTTCATATTGCAGCTTTATCAGTGACTTTTGGTTTGCTTTCTGGGACTTCAGTGCAATTACGTGTTTGATACTCCCCATGTAAAACTTGGTGTGGAACCCTTCATAGCTGCTTACGGCTCCATGCCTCATTTTACCACATTTATGTCCTTCCATTGATTCCTTGTGTTCTTATGAGAGAATTAGGTATTTGGATAAATCTTTTTCCGTATTTTATAGTAATAGTAAAATATGTCTTGGTGAGCTTCTTTCTAAATACTTGGTTTTAATATTTAAAAAAAATTTTTTTTTTAAATTTTAAATGTCTAATTTTAAGGGCGGAAAAAAACCTACTTTTTTTGGTACTGAGGATCAAACTTGGGACCTTGCACTTACGAGGCAGGCGGCAGAACCACTGAGCTAAATCCCTGCCCCTCCAAAAAAAAAAAAACCTATTTAGGTTTAGCATTATGCATTTCTTCCTGCTGGAATAATCTTTGGGAAGATCTTGATCTCTGAAAGTATGTCAATGAACAGACTTGATTCTGCGGTGTCTGCAGCCCTGTGATCATCCAGTAGGTTGGGTGGGTGGGGGATAACAGGAAAAGGGTGTAGTGGTTCCAGTCTCCACCCCAACCTCCCCTTCTTGGTTGTTAGGGTTTTCTAACTGCCGGAGATGACCCGGATTAAAATGACAATGCAGGCCGTCAAGGCCTCAGGCCTGGTAATTCACTTGCTGGGGAGAACAAGCTGTGTTGGGTAAGGCCTAAATCAGACTTTCAAAACCCTAGGCTGGAGCAGCCCCTGGCAGGAGATCCTCCTGCCTGAATCCTCCCACCTGCCACATACTCTAATTTAGTCATCCTTTGAGTCTGACAATTTCCTCAACACTCAGATATGTATGCATACCCAAGCATACAAACATATACACACTCACATGGACACAGACCAAAAGCTCCCTGAGGTCAGGGTCAGTCTGACTCTCAGGTTTGTCCACTGCAGCAGCAGCATTGGGAATGTTAACTTTGGTGAGTCAACACCTTATTGTCTGTGTTGAACCTCAGGAGAGTAAGAGGCCCCAAGTCTTTCCAGGCTCTGGTACTGATTCTATAGACACAGGTTGGAGTTCCCTGTGTGGAAGTACCTTCTGATGACCCCTGCAGGAAGCTGGCTGTTGCTGCAGCAGAGGGGTGGGAGGCAACCAGGCAGTACAGGTTCCAAAAGAGCAGAGAGCACAGGTCATCATGTGTTTGTGACAGGGAAAACAGTGAGACAGATGGCTGAAGGAGGTGATGTAGAGCAGGACTGGAGATTCCTCAGTGCAGGTGACGGCCAGAGGAGTTTCAGTAAATATCCTGGAGCCAGTATACCTTCTGACAGGAGTAGGGAGGGTCCTGAGGCAGCAGCTGTCAAGAGATGGGAGTCAGGGTCTAACCAGCCTCCTAGGTGAAGAACATGCAGGGAGGAGGAAAAGAGCCAGGGTGTTGGGCAGGAAGTTGGGCGTTTCTGCAGTGACCAGAGACGAGGTGAGAACATCCAAATAGGACCTCCAAAGGATGCTCCTAGGTGATCAGAAATCTGAGTGGTGTGTGTACAGGCTGTCAGGACTAGGGAGAATTCCTACCACAGTGGTGATGTCTAAATATCTCCCCCGTAATGCTGTACCTTAGAAGTGGTAAAGAATCTGTTTTGATGTATCAGAGTGGTCTATTACTCCTTACAGAGAGTTTGTTGGTCTCTGTTCCTGCCTAGGCCACCCCTACCTGTTCATGTTTCCCTCTCACCATGTTTAGTTCCCCTATCGCCACCCTCACCATCAGCCATGCCCAGTAAAATCGGAAATCAGCCTGAGCTGCTGTGGCAGCCTAATGGAAAGGCCAGGTAATGTCCTAAAGAGACAGTTCAAACCGCAGCAAAACTGCCTCTGCCTTGTTTGGCCCCACCCCTGGGGTTCAGCTTCTCACCAGCAGGTATGCCTCTGGAAGTTGCTGCTGCACTGGGCAGTGCAGTGGCCTTTATTGGAGGAAACAACACTGACCTCCTTTTAAGTTTTCAAGTATTTATACTGATTCTTTATGCCCTGGATCCCAGGCCAGTGAGTTGTAAATGCAGATTTTCTAAGTAAGCTTGTTCTTTGTTCTTTTCCCCTCACTTTAAATTAGCACTTACGTATTAGCTTGAAACTTAAAAATAATTAAGTAATTTTAAAATAGGGTCACATCTGTAGGACATACTTGGGACCTATTTTCAATAATGTATTCTCTGTTGTGTGACAGTTTCAGGGGCTGTCACAGGATCTGTCCAGCCACTGATTGACCTCTTCGGGGGAAGAAAAAGTTGATGCACCAGGCCGATGTGCTTATGTGAAAAGCAGCATTTTCTTGGATTCCTGAAAACATCTTTTGCATTTTCCTAGGTGGCATCAAAGATTCCATTTGCTACACATCTGATAGATCATGGGAAGATTCCAGTGAGTCTACATGGCAAAATGAAACACACCAAAGAGAGCTCATCAGAGGCCCATGAAGAAATAAGGTTGGTGACTAAGACTGCAGTTCAGTCCTTCCACGGCTCTGTCCTGCTCACTGGCAGATGCTTTTGTTCATCCCACAAGCACATGCTGAGTGCCCCGAATGTCCAGGTTTGCAGAGGGATGTTGGGGTGAAGGATGATTCTGAAAGACATTGTCCCTCCCCACAGGACCTACCTTCTGTAGGCAGCCGCTGCTAGATGCTACCAGGACTAGAAGGTTACACAGGCTGTCTGCAGAGTTGCTGCTGCCTGGCCCCATCTTGTCCCAGTCTTCCCATGCCCAGAAGTCTAATCTTATGCTCAGCTCCAGATTTTTTTTTTTATTTAAAAAAATTTTTTTTACCGGCAGTTGAACTCAGAACCTTGCGCTTGCCAGGTAGGCACAGTGCCACTGAGCTAAATCCCTGCCCCAGCCCCAGATCTTTTAGACCTGATCCTGTGATGAGGTGCTGGGCAATGCTTCTAGGGCCCCAATCACAGGAGAAACTGGATAGAAGAGAGACCAGTGGGAACTATGAGGCCAGGTGTTCACTGAGGTGGAGGAGACAGTGACCATGGCAGATCAGGAGGTCCCAGTGAAGGTCAGCTTGTGGGCACTGAAATGATCTAAGATTTGAGTCCCTGGCCAGGTGATGGCCAGGCTATAGGGCTGTTGTCCTGAGAGGCCAGGTCAGGAACTCTGGAGAGTAGGGAGAGATGTCAGGGAAGTATGGTGCCAGCCAGAGAGGGAGAGGAGGAGAGTGGGAGCCCTGCCCTTGGCCTTTAGGACCCTGTAGGGTTGCAGAGCAGGAGCTGAGGAGGGCCCATGGGGCAGGAGGCCAACATTCAGCAATAGACTCTCAGTCTCTTTCTGCCGTCCTAAATTGTTGTATTTACAATCAACACCAGCCCCAAAGCCCAGAACCCCAGTATTAACAGAAATATGTTTAAAATCATAGTGTAATACAATTTTGGTTGCTGATTGAAGATTTAGTAAAGCTGTGTTTTTCTTATGAAAACAAAAACATGCTGTCTTCATATGCCACAATGACCAGTGTCATTAACATGGATTATCTCACGTCCGGTTGAGGATTTTAAAATACTAAGTGTGGTCCTACAGCTATAACTTGTCCAGGATGGGGCCATAATTTGTTTTTCTTGCTGCTGAGTGGCTCTGATTTGAATTCCATTGTCTGATGATAAATAGCTACCAGCAGTGATTGAAGCCCCCCACCATGTGACAGTTATGCATTTACTACCAGTGGTTCAAGCTGACAGAACATCGAAAATCATCCAAGGAAGGAAAGGGAGAGCAGTAGGGCCTGGGGCTTAGCATCAGGAGGAGAAGGGTGCAGGAGCCCAGGGGAGCTGTGGTGTAGCCCTGGGGACTACATGTGGTCTGGAGGAAAAAGGAAAACTGTGTCCTCAGAATAGAATCTGCTAGGACTAGATGCCTCATGTCCAAGCACATTGGACTGTCCTGTATTCTCAGTCCTTCCTGAGTGGCAGCAGATCTGGAGGAAAAGATAAAGTGGCACATACAACAAGTGCGTGCACGCAGGAGCTTCTGAGGCATACCAGAGCTGCAGGAGATGAAGACAGCCACCCAGGACTTGGACATTGTGTGTATTTGTCAGCTCTGTTAAAGAACTTGTTTCATTAAGCCAGATGTGTGGATCATACCAGCATTCAGAGGTCAAGGCAGGTAGATCATGAGTTCAAAGCCAGCCTGACTACGTAATTCATAGTTCAAGCCTAGCCTGGACTGCCTAACAAGATCTTGTCTCAAGAAAAAGGAAAAATAATTTGATTCATTAAAATGAAAGTACCTTTGCCTCTGTGGAGTGCGCGCTAACATTGGGGAAGTGTTTGCTGTGTCCTGGCGGTGGGACATTTCAGAATTACCATTGGTCTGATGACAAGAAAATGTCCCAGCTGCATTGCCAGCCTTCAGATATGCTGGAACCCAACAGTACCCACATCAGGGCATCTCATGGCAGCAGCTGCCTGGGGACAGGGATAGGGACCATTCCCCTTCACAATGTCAGAGGTCCTTGCTTGAAGCTTTGTACCCAGGAGAACAGGCTCAGGTCTAGGCCTCAAGGGTTACAGCAGCTTCCTGCACAGTGGCAGTGTGTCTAGTGACTCTGTAATAGGAAGGCCAAAGTTCATGGAGATCCAAATGCTGCTGCCCTGGAGGCTTCCTAGACGGAGTTGTCCCCAAATTGCTGCCCACCTACCTGCTGATGATGGGTGGTTAACACCTGTCTAGCACTTACCTGGTGCTGAGATGTCCTGACCTATGACAGCAACTCAGTGAGATGGGAGGGCCCTTTTCTGCCCTGCCTGGGACATGGCCAGCCCAACTAGCTGGTCCCAGGAAACAACTGCCCTCCTGACAGTAACCTCCTAAATGCCTGTGTCCCCACCCACTCACCCACATGGAACATTCATTGGCCTGTTCTTCCAGGTCACCAGGGCCCTAGCCTGGAGGGATCTTCCACATCAGTGTGCCCTATGCCATGCAGCCACTTTGAGGTCCTGTTCCTGGGTCAGGCTGCTTCTGGGCCCATATCCAGGCTGCCCCAGGGTAAGCAGCATGAACATGGAATAGGAACTCTCCCCTGTCCCCATCTGTGGGCTCTATCTCTGCTGTCTTTAAACCAACAAAAGAAAATGTTGATGAGGATGCAGAGCAACAGCAATCCATAGCAGAACCTAAGCCTCCAATACGGGATGCTATCCTCCCAGAAAAATCCATCCAACTGGTTTTCAGCTGCTGTCATCTGGGCCTTTGGTGTAGTAGTTGACCCTGTATCCTAACCCAACCAAGGCCAGCATGGTTTGCAGGAAGAAAGCCACCTGAAAGTACAGTGTTAAGGTCAGCAGAGAAAAATGGCAACAAGATACAAGATGGTTCATTCCACAGCACCCAAACATAGGGATATAAAACTAGGAAGAGGGCCAGGGATTTAGCATAGCGGTATAGCGCCTGCCTGGCAAGCACAAAGTCCTGAGTTCGATCTCTGTGCCAAAAAAAAAAAAAAGAACTAGAAAGAGGGATTGAAAGCTGCAAGTCATGGGGAAAAAATAAGAACCAAGAAAGATTTGTAAAGGTGCAAATTTCCAATGATGCATGTCATTATATTGTATACCTAAAATGTACCAATAAAGAAAGCTGCAAGTCTGTAGCAGGTCAAATTAGATCTCCAGGATCTAATTGTCCATTGGCTCCACTGGCCTACCCAGTGGGGTTTTCCCCTCCCTAGAGAAATAGAGTGACCAAGTGCCAAAGGCATAGTAACAGTGTTGTAACATAGTAACATGTTGCCTTCCTGAGCCCTGCGAAAGGGACACGTACACACCAGTGTGTTCAGAATGCACTAGGGGCTGGCACAGGCTCTTCAGCCTTCTCAGCTGGCCAAGGCAAAAGCCACATGGGTATCCCCCAGAAAATATCCCTGTCCTGAATGACCAGGAGTGACCCACCTGCCAGTATCCACAGTATCTATTCATGGTATCAGGGTCTCATCTTGAGCAAATGTGGAGCTAGAGACCATTGGCCTATGGGGAGAGTCCCATTGTGAAGGAGGGGCCTCACCAAACCGGCTGGAAAAGTGAACTTCAGATATTGAAGACAAAATTAAAAATCACAAGCTAGCATTAAAATACTCTGGGTGATAATAGAAAATATTGCTACCGGGCCAGGGATTAGCTCAGTGGTTTCACCGCCTGCCTCACAAGCTCAAGGACCCAAGTTTGATCCCTGGTACCAAAAAAAAAAAAAAAAAAGAAAGAAAGAAAATATTGCTACCGTGAAATATAGCAAGCTAATAGGAGAACCACACTCTGACACCTAAGAATTCTTGGAGGTAAATTAAAAAGATGATAATTTTTAAAAATTTATCTGGGTGCAGTGGTGTACCCCTGTAATCACAGGACTTGAAAGGTTGAGGGAGGAGAATCACAGGGCTAGTCTGAGCTACATAGTGAGACCTTGTCTCAAAACAGCAACACCAACAAAAAATTTTTTTAAATTTAAATCAATAAGTGAAGAGGATTGATCCAAGAGGTTCACCATCCACCAATAGGTATTCAAGAGAGATTCTAGATAAATGGAATGGGAGGGAGAAATTAATGGAAAAAAAAAAAGTTTTCCACAAACAGATGTGGTACCAGATTGAAAAGCCCACCATGCCTCAGCATCATAACTAAGACAAGTAACATCTCTGAGATCAGATCTCCACGGTCAGGGATCAGTACAAAAGCAATGCATTTCCAGATATACAAACACTCAAAAGTGTTACTTTCCACACAGCCTTTTTCTGGGAAATGCATTCTGTCATGTCAGGAGTTGGGGTAAGTGGTGCAGGAAAATGGAGCCCCAGGCTGCCTGCTAGCAGGGCTGGAGGCCACCGAACTGAGGTCACTCCCAGAGAGACAAAATCTGATCAGGAGGAAAGAAAGAAGCATTGTGGGATTTTATAGTTTGGGAGACTGAATGACAGGCACGTTGCAAACAATAAAATTTCTAAAAGGAGGCAATGATTACTTCCACACACACACAAAAGAAGCCCACACACGGGAGTTTTTACATAAAGCAAAATAATCAATGCATTCTTACTGGATAAGTAGCAAATAATGTTCCCCTAATCTTAGTGATAGAAACCTGAATGGCAGTGGAACCCCTGATTGTGCCATAACTGCATTAGGGAGAGGTGGTTGTAGGAGGCTCAGCAATGCTGGGCTGGAGGTAGAGGTCCAGCTGTGTCCCTGGGCAGACAAAAGGGAGGAAGGTGGGAAGGCTGTGGGGCTCCTCTCCTGGGGTGGGAAGGTGGGAACCTACAGATGCAGGTACCCAATTCAGAAGTGGGAAGAGCCTGCTACTTGGCTGCTGGTGACTTGGTTCTTGTGTGGTAGCAGTGTTTCCTCCTTCATTTTATCTTGTTCTGGCCAGTAGAAGGTCTAGGAACGTGGAATGTGAAACAGAAAGCATGCACCTGAGCCTAGGCACGGTACTTTCCTTTCCCTGGTGGGTACACACTGGTCCTTGGTTCCCGTGTCCATGGCTCCATCGGCTCCCAAGGCAGTTGCAGGTCTCAGGTGGGATCACGAATGTGGCATATTCACCTGAGGGTGGTACCAGTTTCAGCGGTTTTCTCTGTTCACCCATACATCCAGATTGCCATCTGCACAGGACACCTGTGCGGTGCCTGTTGAGGACACTGAGATGAGTGGCCCAAACAGTTGATGTCCTCATGTGAAGGGACAGCAGGAGACCAGGCTGGAGCAGGCTGCACAGGCCTCATCTCAGAGGGGGCTGCACCATGACTCAGGCTCCTGGATGCCCTGGGGTTGGGGACTGGTTCTGCTCACCCTCAGGTACCCCTGCTGTGCAGGAGATTCATCTGAACCTGGAGGGGACAGCACGGAAAGTCCTGCCTTTCTCACTTTCCTTCCCCTCCTTTTCTCTCCAAAGGCCAAGAAACTGCAGGATGAAGTAATGAAACTAAAACTGGAATTGAACAAAGAGTATCCATTTGCAACTCTCACCGGAAACCTTTCACTTCACCCACCAACATCATGACCTCAGAATATATTTTTCAACACAAAATATTAGGAAGATGTTTGTAGTACCAAGCTTCTTCAAGCATGAGGAACCAACCCATCTCTTGTTTGGTGGTTGGGACTAGTGTTAGGGTAGTCAGTGTTTTTATGATTTATTTCACAGGCAGCCCCTTGTTTTTAAATAAATCTATGTTCCTTTTCTGAGGCTGTGAAAGGTTTAAGCAGCATTAAAAGAATGAGAATATTATAGACAAACTATATTGTTTTCATTTCTGTTACCATCTTTTTCTGCCAGTCCAGCTGACAGGGTCATTTGAAAGTCAGCATCAATCCTCCCTCTCTCTTACTCCACGCAACCCTAGTCACAAATATAGTCATAGTTTTCATTAACCTATTTGTTTTAGTGTAGGAATCTAGTTTGCTTGATTTCCTGCCACAGCAGGAGTCCTGCAGGTTGTCCAGAAGGAAGGAATGACAGCCACAGGGGTTTGGGTAAGTGCCCTTAAGTGTTCTCTGCCCAGCAAAGGTGTTTGCTCTTGGACTCGACCTTCAGCTGCACAGTGAAATCCAGCCCGGGACACACCTCTGCCTGGAGGGCCCCAGACCATCCCCTGGCTGAGCAGGCCTGTATTTGACCTCCCTTCTGCCCAGGCTGCTCAGGTGCTGTGCGACTTAGGCTCTTGCACTGAATGTTAAAGATGGGCTTCGTCCTGAACACATCTTTAACAGATGTAGGACTCTCAGACTTTGTTTCCTTCTGTGTCAGTTTTAGGAAATAAGTTTTTCAAGGAATTTTTCCATTTCATCCAAGTTGTCAAATATGTATTAGCATAAAGTTCTTCATAAAATTCTCCATTATCAGTCTTGCAAAGGATTTATCAATTTTTTAGTCTTTGTAAAAATACAAATTTTGGGTTGAGTTTATTGTGTATGTTTCCTATTTCATTGATTTCTCTCTTTACATTTCCTTCTATTTTCTTAGAGTTTATTTAGTGCTTAGATAGAAATTTATCATTTTAAATCCCTCTGTGTGGCAAGTAAACTCCCAGTTCAAGAAGCTAGAAAATACATCAGTCCCAAAATTTATCAGCTAGAACAACAAATATTTATTTCTCAGCCAGTGTTTGAGAGTCACAAATTGGGAGCAGCTTAGCTGAGGCTTCTGCTCAGGGCCTCTTGTGAGTTGAAGTCAAGCTGCCAACCAAGGCTGTACTCACTGAAGGCCCAGCTGGGTGGAGGTTCTGGCACCAAGTCACTTAAGGGAGTATTGATTAGATACCAATCTTTTGAAATGTGATTCCAGCCTTTTGAGATGTGTGAGAACTTGCTTTATGGCTTACCTACCATGTGAGGTATTTGGTAAATGTTCTGTGTGCATTTGAGAAGAATGTATTTTGTCCTGTTTAACATAAGGTCTATATATGTCCCATCAAGGTGACCAATCAGATTTCTCAAATCTCCTGTATCCTTTATAATTTGTTTGTTTTCTCAGTTATTGAAAGAGGTAAAACACTCTTAATTGGGCCTTCTTTTCATTATCTAGCCTGCCAACCTTTGTCTTTTAATTAGAGTAATAGTCCATTTACATTGAAAGCCATTGTACACATGTTGATTTTAAGTATAATTTCTTGTTATTTGTTTTGTGTGTCCCATATGTTTTTATTCCTTTAGTCATATTTTGCTGCTTTCTGAAAGATTAATAACTTCTCCAATTATTCTTCTTTACCTCCTCAGTTAAGAGTTGTAGTGTTATCTTTTGTTTGGGTTTTTGGGGGGGGGTACCAGGGATCGAACTCAGGACCTTGCGCTTGCCAGGCAGGTGCTATGCCATTGAGCTAAATCCCCAGCCCTAGTGTTATCTTTTTGTATTATTGTTGGCCAGGTGATTACAATATGTACCCTTGGTTTAATACAACCTTTTAGTATCTCAGCCACTTCCCAAACAAGGCATTAACACTACAGAGGTAACCTTTACCTTCGGCTTCCCTGTTGGTACCATTGTGTTGTGTACATCTTCCTTCCACACATTTGAAGTACATAGGTGTAGGTACCACTTATAGCAGTGCAACGTTGATGTGTTATTAATACATATTGATATCCTTTTCCCATTTACCCTTACTAGTTTTCTTCATTCCTTCCTCCATTTCCATGCTTCAACCACAACTGATTTCTACTCATACTTTTTTTAGTATTTCTGAGTACTATTGTTATGGTTTACATTCATTTAGCTTTTGTATATCTGAAAACAAATTTAGTTTGCCTTTTATTTCTGCTTAGGATAGAATTCCAGGTTCACAGTTTTTATCACCTCCAAAGCTTTAAAGGTGCTATTCCATTCTCTTCTGGCCTTTGGGTTTTGTAACTTTTTTTTTTGGTACTGAGGATCAAACTTGGGACCTTGTGCTTGTGAGGCAGGCAGCGGAATCGCTGAGCTAAATCCCCGGCCTTGTCCATGGGTTTTGTTAAAAATTCAAATTTTGTCATATTGTTGCTATTTTGAAGGTACTGTATCTCCCCTCACTGATGCCAGTACTGGGGATTGAACCCAGGGCCTTTTTACTGAGCTCCATGGGTCTCAGTCACTAAGTTGCCCAGGCTGGACTCAAACTTGCAGTCCTCCTGCCTCATCCTCCCAGAGCATAAAGATTATAGGCATGTGCTACCATGCCTTCTACCAAGCTTTCTTAAATTTTTTTCTCTTGGGTCAGGGATTTAGCTCAGTGGTGCTGCACCTGCCTCACAAGCACAAGGTCCTGAGTTCAATCCCCAGTAACAGAAAAAAAAAATTTTTTTTTCTGTTGGTTTTCTGCAGTTTGTGTTATGCCTAAATGTGATTTTCTTTTTACTTATCCTTGGAATATACAGAAATTCTAAATCTGGGAGTTTTTCCCTATTCTCTTTTCCCTTTCCGGGACTCCAATATTGTTGGCAGAAAAACCAATGAGGATTTTAAACATCAAAAATATCAGGCTAGGGCCGGGGATGTAGCTCAGTGGTACTGCACCTGCATGGCAAGTGCAAGGTCCTGAATTCAATCCCCAGTACCAAAAAAATATACATCAGGCTAGGAGCTGTGTACAGTGTATCAGTGCTACCACACATGCCTAGCATGTATAATAAGGCCCTGCATTTTATCCCAGCACACCCTGCCTTGAGATCGCAGGCCTCACCTGAAGAGAGCACAGGCCCAGAGCAATGACTGCTCTTAGCAGCTACTCTTTCCCAGCTATTTCTGCCAACCACTCATGACATCTCCAGCCACACTCTGCAGCCACCCAAAGCCCCACCCCTCTGTAGCACAGTCTGAACCCCTCAGGGAGTTCTCCTTCCCAAGGTGGCTGTGCAGAAAAGATAGAGAAGTCCCAGAGACTCAGGATGCTCTGATCCCAGAATCAGGAGGACATGTTCACTCTCAGATAAGGCAGGAGAGATGACACAGCCAGGAGAGGGGTATGCCACCCATACCTCATGTCTCCCAGGGAGAGTACCACCCCACCTAGACACCCCAGATCTCCCAAGGAGAGAGGCCATCCCACACATACCTCTAATGCACCAAGGAGAGACCATCTCACCCAGATACTCAGAATTCACTAGGGACAGGGGACACCCCCACCCCATGCCACATCTACAGAATTCAAGGATACAGGAGCCAGAGGTGGTGAATTAATTTGGCTGGTGGCAAGGCCCAGTCAGGAGCAGGCCAGGTTAGGATGGCTGAGTCGGGGCCAGCTCTTCCAGAATGTTCTCTCCACCAACTTGTGAGCATCTTCCAAGCAGGACCCAGGAGTGGTTTGTCACAACACAATAGGAAATAGAGCAGAGAAAGGGCAGATGAAGACATTCTAAAGGCCTCATCTGAAAGGAAAGAAGAAAAGGGAAGTAAGGAATTAGGGAAAGTAGCTGGTAGATCATTTTCAAAACTTAATAGAGAAATAGCCACCTGAGTATGAGAGAATGTAAAGAGAACTTAACTAATAGAATAAAATAATATATGGGAACTTTAGATGAAAAAGGAAAATAATGGAATGAATAGCAATTTGATCAGAACAAATACAAAGATGAAAGGAGTAGGATCAAGCACATAAGTTTACTGAAAGTGCAAGTAAGTTGAAGCTTTCTATTTGCTATAATACAATCTTAACAGTCTTGAATTTCACCTATGCTCTGTTCGTAGGAAACATACTTAAAACACAGCGAATTTTAAAGACATTGCAATGAATAGAGTACGATTTGGGGCAGGGTGAAGGATTAGCGCCTGTTCTGTAGTGATTGAGAGAAACCAGACAGGGGAGGCCCAAGAACACTAAGGGCCCCGGGGAGCAGGAGGGATTGGGAAAGCCTCATGGTCGGCCAAGTGGCTTCCAGTCTCTTTGGATGTAGGCCTTGTCTTCTGCTTACACAGGTGGTCAGAACCATGCAGAGCACTGGAGTCCTATGGGAGGTCCCAGAGCTGCCCACGGCACATCTGGTCTCCCTGAGTCATGTGCTGAGTCTGGCACCAGCAAGGGAGCTGAGGGCTGTCCTAGGGACAGGGTGAAATCTCTGGCTGCCTCGTCCTGTGGAGGAAAGTACCTCACAGAGGCAGGAGCTAGCAGGAGAAATGTGATGGGTCTTGTCAAGACTGAGTCTGCCTGAGACTGCAACCCAGCTCCATCCACCCAGCTCAAGCCCTTGACTGGATTAAAGTTAAAACAAACAAACAAACTTCACCCTATTTTCCACTAAGCAGAGGAGAGGGCTAGACCTCTTGGGAAAATGACCTCATTGTCTATTTACTTGTTCATATACAGTGTTTGGCACACACTAAAATGTTCTGAGACAAGTATAATGTAGAAAATAAAGGAAAAGAGATATGAAATAGATGATAAGCTGGACATTTTCAACAGGAAATTGGCACCTATAAAA